ACGAACATAAAACAAGTGTTGCCATGATGTGGAAGTGGTGGAAATCTTGTTTTTGGTAAAATAAACAATTTATGGCCCTGGTTGCAGTGCAATATATGCATTCATGGCCCTCAGGAAATATGGCAGCTGAGAGAACCAGGGCCATAACGTGTTTATTATACCTAAAACAAGATTTCCACATCATGGCAACACTTGTCTGCTGCTGTTTTTTAGACAACAAAAAGGGAGACAATCCTGCCGAATTAGGACGTCATAGGGTAATTTTGTATAGTGAGGGGAATACGATGTTTTATCTCCCTGTCAGGTGACATATATACTATGTTTTGACACCACTCTGGACACTTACATTTGATGACAACTTCATGTAAAATGCACTAAACGTTGGAAAAATAGAAACATGCAGTTTTATAAACAATAATTATAAGTACACATATAATTTATTTGTCACTCATGTTCTCGACATTCAAAGAGATCAAATAAAGCTTTACGGTCACATGATTTCTGTTAGCTGGGTCGTGCTTGCAAAGCTTTTTTTATTATGTCCGAGTCTGGTGCACGTATCGTGTCAGACATGAAACAAATTTATACATTCACCATTAATTCCAACAAAAGTAAATGATTCGCTTCTCTTTCATAAAAGTAGGGAACTTGCACATTCTACATTTCAAACACACTGCCATAACTGGTGAGACAAAAACTAGATTTACCTCTGATTTGGGCTCAGGAGGCTTAGACTCTGATAAGTTGGCGTCATGGTGCACACTCAGTGATGTGGACGAGTCGTCACAATTCTGATTTATAGCTGGTTGTGGAAAGTCAAGGATGTTGATAATCTTTTTTAAAACACCCTGAACGGTTTTGCCTTCTTCCATTGTGATTCCAAGCACTATGGTCAATATAAAAGTAATGTAAATGTTAGCATACCAAGCCTAGGTCAACGTCTGGGAAAAATAGATACTCCGACTCATTAGATAGGCCTATTATTAATGCTGCTCACAAATTATAAGATAATAATTTTAATCTTTTATGGGTTATAACATGAATACACCTGGTATTAATCTCACACTTGTAGTCTTAAATGTGGACTAAAATACAGCTACAGGCAGGATATCAGTGTTTGATTCATAAAAACCTATACAAAGATTTAAACATATGACGCCTTTGACCTTGAATGTCGAACAAGGACATTAGGTTGAAAGTGGGTCAAGGTCATTCATTTGAACAAACTTGGTAGCCCCTTCATCCCAGCATGCTACAGACCCAATAACAGTACCCTGGGCCTTTTTGTTATTGAGAAGAAGTTGTTTAAAGATTTTAACATATTTGACCCCTGTGACCTTGAAAGTGGGTCAAGGTCATTAAATTGAACAAACTTGGTAGCCCTTCATCCCAGCATGCTTCTGGCCAAATATCATCAGCCTGGGCCTCTTGGTTATTCAGAAGTTGTTTACCGGGTAAAGTAAAATGTTGATGCCGGCCGGACGACGGACGACGCACCATGCCATAAGCTCACTTGGTTAGGTGAGCTAAAAACTGAATATAAAAGCTTACGACCTCTAACGCGACGTTTAATTCACCAAGCACAGTATTCTCCCCAGAAAAAAATTAAACCGTGTTGCGTTGCAAATTATACCAATATGTTCCTTCTGAATAATTAAAGCACCTTGAGGAAATGTACTTTTAATACCAGGAATATATAGGAGAAACAATTTTGGATAGCAGCATGGTAAAAAATTATGGTACCATGCTGCTAAAACAGGCAGGGGAGAACACTGAAGCATGAGCACAAATACCTAAAACAACAGTTTAAATTGTTGGCCTAATTATTACAAATCTTCCAGGTGGACAGTTGGATCTGTCACAAGACATGATCATCTTGGTGTGTAGTGTTACTTACGATTACAAAGCGACAATGCGTCAGCTTGCCTTCTGGCAGTGGTACATGTACTATCGACAGCATCTTTCCTAATCCGGTGAGCTGAGGCATCCATATATGCAAATGGCGACATCTGATCCTGATCAGGAACACCTACTGAAAATAATTGATGAATATAACTATATCTATTTTTTTGCTAGGCCAACATTAAAAAAATATTTGTTTGATGTACCCCTACCCAGGATGTAGAAGGTGGGTAGGTATGTAGGTATTGATTTTTTATT